GGGGGGGGGGGGGGGGGGGGGGGGGGGGGGGGGGGGGGGTACTCGTAGTCGTGCATGCCGTAGTCGTCAGACCATTGACCTCGCATCCCTACAAAGCCGGGACGGAGCATGCCGGGTTTTCACCGGACCAGGCTGTCACATCACCAAGCGCGAAGCGCCGTGAGGTATTCGGCGAGTTGCATGAAGGGTGCGCTGCATCCTGCTAAGGGTGTTCGGCATCTTGTGCTTACTTCTTTGCCTACGGATGACAGCTGCGTATGACTTAATTTATTTTCTGGTGCTTTCACTTCCAGAGACAGCAGTTGTAGGCGCTGTGTAACTGCCTCGAGAGTGCTTGACCAATCTTAACACAACGTGCGATTATCCCCTTTGCGCGGAGTGAGGGTTCTCGACCCCGCACAATAGTATCTACTCGACCACCATTCATGGTTACCGCAAAAAGAAAAAAAAAGGCAAAAAAGCGCTTATTTTGGTTTCTGTCGAATTGCTTCATTATTTCTTCGGTTTCTAGGCTACGTGTTGGGGAGAGAGACGCACGAAACGCTCATCGTCTCTCCGGCCGCGTTAGCTGCGAAGGACGGTGTCAACTGTTGCAAATCCATCTCTCTCCCCACAAATACTAGCCGGGGGACTACGACTGCAACCGCAGGAGTCCCAAAACTGACATATCCTCAAATGGTAAACACCATTCTACAACACCCGACTAGATACCGAATATTCCCGAACTTATGCCCCCACCTTCGAAAGAAAAGGGATGGGAGGGCGGGATTTTCTAAACTGCCGCCGCTACTGCGTTAGGCGGCTGCTGCTGTCCTTCCGTTGCTTCACGCGCTCTGTAGCTCTCACACGTTACCCGACTTTGCTACAGCCCCTGCGTGAACTCGATCACGGAATGACACCCCCCAGCTCTAGACTACAATAATAAATCCAAACACCGTGACCCTGGGTTTCCGATAGAAAATGAAGTCAAATTCTAATTCGACTGTTACAAAATAAACACCAGTTTATTCTATCTGCCCTTCGAACAAACCTTCCTTTTATTTTGGTTTCTGTCGAATTGCTTCATTATTCTTCGGTTTCTAGGCTACGTGTTGGGGAGAGAGACGCACGAAACGCTCATCGTCTCTCCGGCCGCGTGAGCTGCGAAGGCCGGCGTCAACTGTTACAAATCCATCTCTCTCCCCACAAATACTAGCCGGCAGACTACGACTGCAACCGCAACAAGAGTCCTAAAACTGACCAAGTCCTCAAATGGTACACACCATTCTACAACACCCACATCGGGGTCAGTTTCTGGACGATTACCGAATAAGTCAACTATGCGTTCCCCATACGGTCCCCTCCCCCGGCTGTCTCGATAGTACTATCCCGCTGCCGTCTGTAAGTTCCGTGACACTCGCCGCGAATCCTCTACATTGTTTCGTGCATACGGCTTGTAGACATTCGACCTCCACTTTCCTTCTCTCTGAATCACTCGTTCTGCGATGTCTCCGCCCGATGCAAGAGCCGTGGCGCCTCCGATTCGCAACGAGTGCAACGCGTACACCTGGGGGTTATGCCCCGACTTCGCTACCACTTCTCTGACTACACGGAGGGCAGCACTATACCTCACTACTCTCACTGCTCTTCCACTACGGTACGAAGCCAACGGAGCGGAGTCAGGCAACGTCGCATGACACGACAATAGCTCCACCACAAGAGCCACCGCGCCCCCGCGTGCTCTCAAACCTGACGGCGGTCCGGTGACTTCGTCTCGCGTACGAACCCGTATGATGCCGTTCTGCTCTTGATCGGCATTGTGCCCTCTAAACCTCATTTCGACACGGTCTGCTCTACGATAGTGACCAAAGTCTAGTTGCGTCCCGTCGGCAAACAATGCTTTGTCCGTCCTTGTAAGACGGTGTGCCTCATGCACCCTGCCCGCGTCATTCGCGAACACCTCATCAGACCGTGTGATGAAG